TGCAGGTAATCAAATATCATGGAGCTGTGTCGTAAGTGCCCCACCCAATCCGAAGCAGCGAGCAGTACAATATGACGTAAAATCTGGCCATTGAAGAGTCATGCGTTTTCTGACATACTCGGGCGTACGAAGAGCTTATGATATTTATGCGGCATCATGGAAGGAGTACCAGCTCAAGAAACATCGGCATCATGGGAGGAGTACAAGCTCTAGAAACATCGTTCGTGTTAAACTCGAAGTGACTCTGGCAGACAAAATGATGCGAGATTCATCTGGTACTACGAGCGCTCAAATACCATGAAGCGGTCACATGCTTTAATGATTTTTCTAGACAACTGGGGCCACAGGAACGGTGCATTCTTGTCTTAGGAGTCATCCTTTTTCCGATATTACCAATGAGTCATTATCGTTACGTACAAATCTGGATATATAACTAACATCCAACTCTTTGAAATCTACTTATTGACTATCTCATTAATCCTAAGTGGCTGACTTCCGGGTGGTATTTCATGCCGCAAAGATATCTGTCACTAACTTACTTGTACATCGACTTAATCATCCGAAACGCCATATCCTTGGCGTATTGCGAACAGCTACGGAGGATAAACATTTATTTTATCAGCTAAGTAATTACATTCTATAGTACAACGGCTATCATCCAATGAAAATCAAATGGCACTAGTATCTCATTTCCAGCAAAATTACTGCATCATTTTTATCCAAGATAGCACTTCATGCAAAAGACCTTTCGTAGTAAAATTTGTAACAATGGATGAAGAATAGTACAACTCCAAACGCTTAATGCTAAGCAGTCGATATTTCTGATGGAGCAGCTTAAAGCTTTCGTCGTTTATTTATTGATGAGGAGGCGTGCGTTGTTTATGGCCGACCCGAATTTTTATCTCGTCCGATTTCGACTTCGCCTTTTCACACGGCTCTTGATCGCTTTTGCCGGTCGCTGCATTCTTTTTCTGAGTTGCCTTGGACCTGGATACGAAAGCATCGTCTAATTCACGAAAATCATCAGCATCAAGAGATACGCGCGTCAAGTCTCGTTGCAGCACTGGAGGATAAGTCTAAATTTAAATGTTCATCTTTAGGCAAGATAACTGCCCCCCCTTGAGGAAACAACTAAATCGTGTTTATTAACAGAACCCAGTTTCTACTCATATTTCTTATATTTCATACTCATATTTTTAATTTCATGTTAATACAAAAGCATATAACGAGCACATAACTGAGTACTAAACTGTCACTGGTAATGTACAAAATTATCCATACAACAGACGAGAGCAGAGGCATCGATGCAGGGCCTGGTCTGTTTCAACTGCTACTATTTATTCACTGGCGTCGTAATAATCCGCGTATAGGGTTATATTTGTATTAACAACTGCATGATAAACATTCGTTTATGCGTTTTCATGAATATTGCTTTCTTCAGGGATAAATACGGACGGCGAATCCGAATACTCGAATACCGCATGCAATCACGGTGTATGTCTCTAGAGCGATGTTATTCAAAGACAAGAGGTCGACCGTCTCAGGATCCATGACAAGCTTTGACACTGACATGTAACCCCTCACTCGGTTCGTCGGCTTCTCTTCACGACGTGAATGCTGAAGCTAGATTTGAAAAACAGATAGGTCGATTAAGATTTACTTATTATTATGCCTTGAATTAATTTAACCTATCGAATTTATGCAGTGGACAACATCATAAGACCTGACTGTTGAATTCATACTCTAATATTTTTATTAAACATTTAATCACATGTAAGAACTTTCATGCTTCCCAATGCAATGTACGCGTATACACAGCCAGGCAGCCTAATATTTTTCATTAGCAGTTTGTGCGTGCCTGCAATAGACAAACACGATCGAAACAGACTGCTCTCGATCATTCTTCGTAACGACTTATTTTAATCAACAAAAATCCCAGCAGCATGCATATTAGAACAGGATTTATGAATACTATTAAAGGAAATAACTGTGCAGATCCCTAACCACTTCCAAGATCCTATGGTTTCTACATACCAGATTAGCTGCTCTAAATTACTGGAAACTAACTTTTATTCTTACCCCACTGCATCAAAGATGACGCCGGTGCCGTCGAAGCACTCCACTTGGATCGAATAAATGCATGGTCACTCTTCATTGCTTTCAACGCCATGTCAGTTCTAACGAGATCTTCCCATATTGCTGAAAGTCTTCCTAACGGGCAGATCACATGAGACATCATTAACTCTGGTTACTCAGCCCTTGGCCCTGATACTCCAGGTGACGATGACAACAACAACAGTAATAGCGGCGCGTATCACCAGGCTTTGCATTCAGTATTCGCTTCGCAATGGAGCCATCGTCCATTCGTTGGCAATAGAAGCACCGTTTCAAACGCTTTGTTTAGAACCAGTAGTTAATTTAGTTGGACATTCAAATCTGTCTCTTACAGCAGTATCTGACATCAGATCGATCATTACTCCTCTTATTGCTCATAAAATCGACACTGCCGTAGCTTCCAGTTTTCTGTTTTCAGCTATGCTACGTGCTGCCACTTAGAGACAAATATACGCAAAACGAGAAAAAAACGCCACATACAAAAGTTACTAGGTAAATAAACGCCACCAATGACATCACGAAAAATCAACATCACAGTAGATAAATAAGCAAGAAAAATGTAAAACTCCTGTAGAAATCTGCGCATCCATTAAAGCCATCTACGATGAAGTAAATTTAACTACGACAATGAATGGTAATGGGTATGCACTGTTCAGATAATTACAAGTGCAGAGCTGAACATGA